CCTCATTCTGACCAGTCAAAATGACAGAATAGTTGCAACATCTCAAACGTCATTATGACTAGTCCAGACTGTTGTGCATGATGATGCACCTGAGAAGCTGTCATTGGAAATTGGCCCGCAAAGCATTTAAACTGTGTTTGCGTAAGTAATGGTAGTTGCTGTGGATGTTAGAAAATACTGCAAAATAGTAAGACAAGCCTCGTGACTGCGCCTGGAATGGTCGCATATGCGCCCAGAATTTCGAGGGTGCGACTATATTTGAAATTACAGTCGCACGGTGCTTCAATCGAAAAATGAGCAAAAATGAAGGCCTGCGCCGAAATAATGGCTGCAGAAAAAAAATAAACAAGCTCCACGCCCACTGGCTGACTGAAGCGCGCGAACCTACGGGCCGTAATGCAGCCTGCGAGTACTGATCATGATTCGCGAATCAACTTGCTAAAAGATCAGCTGACCATAAACAGCGAATCAAGGAGCAAATTGATAAAGACAAACAACAAGCACAGTTAGTAAGCGTGTGTATGATTGTCTAGAAGTTAGTGCAACCCTGCGGCCTTTCTCTGACAAGATGAAGCGGTCTATTGCTGAGTATTTTTCGAAAGCTTCTCAGCCTTCTGTTTCAAGAGAGCGAGAGCGCCCTGAGCCACCGAACAGCCAAGAAACCCCTGATTAACCGGACCCACGCCCAATACATATGTGGAGCACAAGAGCGATGTGGAACCCGATAACGATGTCGAAAGCTCGGACACGGATAATGAGCCCCCAGCCGAACCTTTTCTTTTAAAGTTAAGTTTCGTCACCACTTCCTAACTGCAAGTGTCCTCCAGAGGAGGACCATCTGCAGAGATGCGGATGCGTCATGTGTCATGATGACTGTCAAGAAGTCTGTGGTTGTAACCAGTGATGTGCAGTCCCCTGACCGACATCACGGAAAGAAAAAAAGATATAATGATAAAATAATTTAAATGGTTATATTTATCCAGTGATTTGTACTACAAAGTATTTGTTTTTTCATTTAACCTCGTCAGTTTTGATGATTTTTAAATTCAAAATCGTTGAATTTTAACAATTTCCCATTCAATGCTTGGAAGGGAAGCTGTTGAGGCAGTGCCGGTAGGCAGTGACAGCCTACGCATGGCAGCCAGCACAGTGAGGGATTGTGCAATCCAAGTGATGCAGCAGTGAGCTCAGTCTCACTTGGATTGCACAATCCCTCGCTACCTACACTGGCTGCCTGCAGTGACAGCGTGCTGCTGTCTGGATGTCGCCAATAACATGGTTCAAACACATTTAATATATGAACTGATTTTCCATAGTACAGCTGATTATATAACAATGTAGTGTTTTTTGTCACCAACTGTTTGTGTGTAATGTGTTTCGTGTGCTGAGCGATCATAAACGGCTGAGAAGAAACATCCCCCGTAAACTGCTGCCAATCAAATGGCAAATATGCTCCTGTGTAGAGTGCATATATTTGTAAATCAGATTCTGATGAAGTCAGTGCCTCACCAGCCATGAACCTCACCGCACGTCACTGGTTGTAACAAATGGTGTGATTCGTCTTTCTTCTCCAAGAACCAACTGAAATTATATACCACACATTGCCAATTGTTTTGCACCTATCAATGTATTCCTTTTCTTTTAAAATCTACTTAAATACTTTATTCCAAGTTGTTAACATTGATTAATAGGAGTACTATTGTTATGGCCAAGAGTTTTGCTTGTGCTCCCAACTTTTTATAGTGGTGCACCTAGATTTTTGCTGGTGCTCCTGACTTTTTTGGGTAAGGAGCACAGTGCTCCTACGTCAAAAAGTTAGTCAGGAGGCCTGGAAGAGCTCATCAGCAACGAGTTTATGAAGAACAAGAGCTTTGTTCAGTAGAGACTTGTGGTCAAAATTTGCAACGTATTGTAAATTTTCTGCCTCCAGACATTCATGTGGACTTTTGACAAAATCTGAATGTGCCCAGAACACAGAAGTCTAAATGAACATTATACTTTGCCTAATTTATATATCCATCCATCTATACACTGCTTAATCCTCACTAGGGTCGCAGGGGGGCTGGAGCCTATCCCAGCTGACTTTGGGCGAAGGCAGGGGACACCCTGGACAGGTCGCCAGTCTATTGCAGGGCTATACTTAGAGACAGACGTGTGTGTGTGTGTGTGTGTATGTGTGTGTGAGTGAGAATGTATGTAAGTGTGTATGTGAAAAGACCTCTGAGCTTGCACTGTGATAACGGGGATCTTTTTAAACTGAAAACAGAAAACATAAAGTGGATATGTTCTGAAGACACGTTAGCAAAAAATGTTGGGTTTTCAGCCTATTGCAGTGCAGTGCATGGTATGTTTGAAAAGCCACTAAAAGATACAGAAGTGACAATGCTGACCATGAACTGCAGTTTTCTACATTTCCATATGCTGAAAATGTGTAACTTTTGATAGTTTATATGTCTCCAGAGGTAGAAGATGTACTCTGGCCTTGTACTTATATCCATCCATTATCTATACATCGCTTAGTCCTCACTAGGGTCGTGGGGGGGGGCTGGAGCCTATCCCAGCTGACTTAGGGTGAAGGCAGGGGACACCCTGGACAGGTCGCCAGTCTATCACAGGGCTACACCTAGAGACAGACAAACAAGCACACTCACATTCACACCTACGGACAATTTAGAATCACCAAATAACCTCAACATGTTTTTGGACTTGTGGGAGGAAGCTGGAAAACCCGGAGGAAACCCACGCTGCACGGGGAGAACATGCAAACTCCACGCAGAAAGATCACGAACCAGCAACCTTCTTGCTGCGAGGCAACAGTGCTACCAACTGCACCACCTTGCAACCCCCTTGTACTTATATGAGGTACTGAAACCATATTGTAGAAATACTTTGCCTGAGGTCAATTTCATGCATTTGCATGTATACTTAAGCAAAAGTACAAAAGTATTTGCATCAACATCTACCTACAGTACCAAGAGTGAAAGTACAAATGCTGAATGGCATATTGCAGAATAATGCATATTATGGCAAATAATTATCACTGCAATAATGAGTTCAAGATTGGAGCTGGTAAACATGACTGAACTACTTTAAATAGTTCATCTGCTGAGCAGCTTGTGAATTTCACCTCAGGGCTCAATAAAGTTGTATGTTGATCCCTGATATTATATTATCATGTATTTGTTGATTATATTTTCAACTATTATATATTTCTCACATCACATATTACAAATATCTTTAATGCACTTTACATCTTCTGTACTATTAGTACTTCTATGAATACGATTATGCTGGAAATGTTTTGTGTTCAGTGTTAGATGTGGGTTCCTGACTGTGACTGTAGCCGCTGTAACAAAGTCATTTCCTGCAAAGTATCAATTAAATAATATATTTATTATAAGTTACTTAAATAATGAGCTTGACTGAAAAGTCCCCTGTAAAGACTTTTAATATGAATGAGTCAGGTGTGGGCTGTCTGTGTGACCAATCAAGGCAGTGATGTTTAAAGCGAACAGCAGGCCTACACTGTCATGTTATAAATCTCATTTGTGGTTGATCCAGGCCTAATGTAACTCACACCATGCATTAACATGTTTCCATCAACGTAACGTGTGTAGTGAATGATATTCAACAGGAATTATGAAGTCTATAGGAAATAGTAGTCTACAGTAGCCAGTACAGTCTAGAGAAGAGAATATACTGACAACAAACTGCAGCTCTCTGCATTGGAATGAAAAAATAGTGAACTTCTGATAGTTAATGTGTTTCCAGATGTAGAAAGAAATACTCAGACCTTATACTTAAGTAAACCTGTAAAGTAACCTGTAGCTAAAGTTATGAAGTAAACGCAGCGGAGTAGAAGTAATAATTCTGTGTAATTTTGACTTCTGACTTGTAGTGGAGTGCAAACATCAGTAGCAGATAATGGAAATACTCAAGTAAAGCACAAGTAACAATAAAAAAAAAATAGTACGTTGTGGCACATTGTACTAACAGAAAGTCAGCGTCCGCAAGTTGGATCCTGCACTTGTGCAAACCATCAATAACGTTTTGATTAGTTGTTCAGCTCAAATCAAAATGACTAAAATAATCAGATTGGTTTGTTAAAAGTCACCTGTAAAGACTTCTAATGCGACCACAGACTGGGTGGAGTCAGGTGAGGGCTGTCTGTGTGCCACCAACCAAGGCAGTGATGGTTTACAGTGAACTGCAGGCCTGCATGTAATGTTAGTGCACTGCTTTATGGCACATACAGGCCGAATGTAACCTACACTGTACTTTAGTTGTTCCCATTAGTGTGCAGTAAATGATTTTCAACGTGGAATACTAAGTCTAAAGGATATAGAAGTGACTGTACTGACCGTGAACTACAGTTTTCAGTGACTTAATAACACACTCGCTGATTTAACCACCACTTAAACAACGTGGCGAATCTGCTAACAAGCGCGTGCACCAACAGTAACGACGGCGCCGAAACTAGCTAACACCGTGTCCGGTACCGGGACACTTTGGTGGCGATAAAGTACAAACTCGGACATATTTCAGTGTAGATAGGGGGGCTGTCTGTCGTGTTTCTCCGGTGACAGTGTGTCTTCCGCATTGCTCAGCAGCAGACCGCCGGGCTAAAAACAGAAACCCCCAGAGAGTCCCGTTAGCAAAAGAAAAAAAAAAAAACCTGCCTGTCTGTTCACACTGTTTGATATTTCCAACGCATGACTGAGCCTAGCTCCGCGCAAAGCTAGTTAGCTTTTGTTAGTATCCTCATATAACATTCCTACCGGCCACGGCTGTCGTGTCGAGTCCACGCCCTCGCTGTGAACTCCGTCCGAGCTACAGTAAAAACTCGCATTAAAGCCTAACAAGGCCGAACAAACCGGAGCCGAGCCGCCCCGACGCCGGCTTACCACCTAAAGCTAGTCCGGTTTAAACACAGCCCGACGGACGAGGACGCGTTTAAAAGTGCTCGGAGACAGAGAGAAGTCGGGGATAGTTTCGCTTACCTTCGCTTTCTAGGAAATCTAGCAGAGGTTTGAAATCCCGGCAGAAAAAAAGTGAAACTTGTTGATCCTAATTCTGGGAGAGTTGGAGGCCGTGACGTCACCGCTGAAATTCCAGCCGTGTGTGAGTTCAGAGGTTTGACCATGTAAGGCAGCAGGCCAAAACACCGTGTTTACACTGCATGTATGCAGCACAACGCATAGGCCCGAAGAAATGTAAGCTGCACACCAGCTTCCCCCTTTTCCTTTTTCTTTTTTTAAACACAAACCCCATGATTTTCTCCTCATGAGCCAAAATGAGACACACACAGCGCTGGAAAGTACATTTGACTCAAAGGATCCCAACATTTTATTATCATACGCTGCAATAAATAAGAGCAATGAAGTTCTTAGCTGGCTGTGTCTAGTGAATAGACTTTACAGTACCTGTAAAAAAAAAAAAAAAGTATTCACCTCTGTTTTACTGCTTTTCAACATTAAATCATAATCAATTTAATTTAGCTTTTGTCAAGGCTCTTTCCTGTCGAAGTGAAAGCAGATTTTTATGACAATAAGTGATTGCATTAGTATTCACTCCCCTTAAGGTGGCTCACATAATTCAGCACACTTGCAGCCATTATGTGCTAGAAGTCACACAAATGGAAATCATCTTATTGCAATGAATGTGTCTTAAGTGAATGTAGTATAAAAACACCTGTATCTGGAAGGTCCGGTCACTGGTGAATCAGTACTCCTGGTTATAACAAAATCACTAACACAAAACAATACTCCAAGCAACAAGCAAAAGGCTACTGAAAAGCATAGGTATGGATTTTTTTTTTTTTTTTTTTAAACATAAACCCCATGATTCTCTCCTCATGAGCCAAGATGAGACACACACACAGCACTGGAAAGTACATTTAACTCAAAGGATTACAACACTTTATTATCGTATGCAGCAAAAAACAAGTGCAATGAGGTTCTTAGCTCACTGTGTCTAGTGAATAGAATACTACGGTGGCCGACGGGGGCAACTGACATGTATATACACAAATGAGCTGCATATACATGAATGCCTTGCATAAACAGAAACGCGCTGCAAAAAGAAACAGCTGCAAACACAGAAACGCTGCAAAAAGAAAACGCTGCATATCCACTCACACAACGGAAGTGCCCCAGGCCTCTAGGGGCAGTAGTGAGCTTTTCACCTGAGACGCAGACGATGAGTGAGACAAGTCACATTAGTTGAGGGAAAAGCCAACCCAGTCTCACAGCAATTTGTGAAATAGTCACGAAACGTAATATTATTATTATTATTATTATTATTGTTATTATTATTATCATTATTATTATTATTGTTATTATTTTGTGCCCAACTTTTTCGTGTTCCCCAGCACGAATTTCAAACCAGTACATTTCAATTGGAATTATCTTTCTTGTCTGGGACACGTTTTTCTCTATTAGACAGCGCATATACTGTGATGTTTTTGTCGTTCTTTTCTTTAACCAGTTTTACTGTTATGGCCCGTCCACACTAATAACTATAGAGATCACTATACAGATATGTACGCCCACACCGACCAATATTAGTGTAGTCTGAAGAGAAGGACACCTGCAGGACAATGGCAACCGGAGGATGTACTGTGATCGTAGCGAGTGTAAAGTGTAAAAGAGAACATTGTATTGTGGCATTTTTTTGTGTTTTTTGGGGGGAAATTTGTGCTCGTTGCTAAGGCAACCCTGTTAGTGTCAGCGCGCCACTTTGCCGTACACCCGGAAGAGATTTGTGTCCTGGGACACGTAATAATATACTGTAACAACCAAAACATTACAGACCCTGTAGGACAGATCTCTTGAGCACACCTGAACATAAGCCACACCCACTAACTTTAAAAAGAAGAGAAAATTTGTACATTACATTACATTACAACTTTTAATTTAATATGTACAGGTAACATACACAAATACGTACCATAAATCCTTTTTTCCGAACAATGCCTGTAACACGGCTGGTTAAGAAAATGAAAACTGCAGTAGCCAACCAGGAAAAGTCATTGATCGCTATCTTCATCTTCATCATAAATTCGTCAAAATCGTCAAAATCCATAAATTGACCACACCATTGTTTAAGCCACAGTGTTCAAAGCATGTGCAAAAAGTATCAGTTTATAGTCCGGAAATTACAGCATTCACTCCCTTTAAGGTGACTCACATAATTCAGCACACTTGCAGCCAATATGTGCTAGAACTCACACAGGCAGTGAAATGGAAATCATCTTATTTTACTGATTGTGTCTTCACAAAAACACCTGTATCTGGAAGGTCCAGGCACTGGTGAATCAGTACTCCTGATTATAACCAAACCACTAAGGCAAAACAACACTCGAAGCAACTCTATGAAAAGGTTATTGAAATGCGTAAGTATGGATCAAATACAAACTAGTTTCTTCGTGACTGAATATCCCTTGGAGTACAGTCAAACCTATCATTAAGAAATGGAAAGAATATTGCACACATGTAAGTCTTCTTAGAGCAGGTCACCAGCACTTGGTGACCATACAAGAAAGAGAATAGTGAGCAAGGCCACCAAGACATCTATGAGTCCTCTGAAGGAGTTATAAGATTCAGTGGCTGAGATGGGAGAGACTGGGCATACAGCAACTGTTTCCTGTTCTTTAACAGTCAAAGCTTTATGGGAGATTGGTAAAGAAAAAGCCTGATTACAAACTGCCGTGATGCACAGTGGTGGCAGCATCATGATGTGGGGATGTTCTTCAGCAACAGGTCCTGAAACTCTCATGAAGGAAGAAGGTGAAAAAAAATGTAGCAAAGTATAGGGAAATCCTGGAGGACAACCTCATGTGATTTGTTTTCCAGCAAGACAATGACCCAAACCTGGCCTGATTTACTCAGGTACTGCACTGAGCTGGAGACATTGCAAGGAAATTGGGGGGGTAAATAACAAATAAATAAATAAATAAATAAATAAATAATGAGCATCATCATGAAGCTTCTCCAGTTGAATAGACAGATTACATTTGACCATTTGTGAACGCGTATTAAGTTTGGGGTCTGGACATCCTTCCACAGGAAAATTGAGTGTCAGACACTTCATTTCCTGCGTATGATCAAATTTTATGCACCAATTTGTGTCAATTTGTGGTGGCAATGTCTTTATTTATGTATAGGAAAACACAAAATTCAGGCAACAGAGGGGTGTACGAAAAAGCAAGATTGATGGGTCAGTAGTCTGACTTAATGGATGCAGGTATAGGCCTGCCATTTGCTGATAATTTCAGGCAGTGTTGTCATTCTCTTCTGCTATTTGTGTGTTAGCATTGTCTGTGCTACAGGAAACAACAACGATAACCCTAATTATACCAACCAGTTCCTCTGACTGAAGTGGGCAGTACGCAATCAGTCCATTTTGTGGAAAGAAAGAGTAACATAAAGTGTTAAATGCTACCTGTCTGATGAAGAAAACCTGATTAACAAGGAAATAGGATAACCACCATCATCGTACCCATCATCTCTGACTAGGTTTTGTCAAGCCAGCTAAAACAAAGAAAGCCGGGCTATGTTAAGCTTCGTAGTACACTCCTCAGAAAACAATATACAGTGCTCGCAGGCAGTTTCTTTCAAATATTAATTCTCCTGTAGATGAACTTCTTTCATTTAATATCATCCCCGCTGAGTCAACACACATATAGGTGTGATTTGTTTTGTTTTCTGTCCTCTTTTGTGTCTGTTGTTTGGGGACGTAACCTCTTTAAATGTGCATGTGGCACCTTTTACTGACCTTTTAATTAATTTATAAACCTCTGGACTTAAATAGCTTGTATGTACTTCAGCAAGATTTTTGCTCATGTTGCAAACTTTCTGCACATTCAGAACATATAGCATTTATCTTCATCTGACCCACTGAGGAAATACCCAGTCTGAGGTTTTGTTGCAACTACGGGGGAGGACAAATGCAGGTGCTTTAAATATTGAGGGGGATGTGTCATCTGCATCTCACCTAAAATCTACACTTATGCACACAACTCTCTCCTTATGAGCCATTTTGAGACAGCCAGTGGTGAAAAGTACATTTACTCAAGTACTGCAGGGCAGGCACTACAGGAAAAAAACATATTTCTTTCACACACGGGGCAATTTTGAGTAATTTTCAGGCAATTGTGCTTCCATAACATGCTTATTTTTGGACCTGTGAAAGGAAAACGTCCAAAGTACACATTTAGGTGTTATTTTCATGGGCATGGGTTTCATTTGAACATTGGGGGAAACAAATTAAAGTCCTCCCCTTGGGGGAAAATGAAGTTTTTTGTCCATGTGGTGTTTTTCGATGTGCTGGAAGACGCATCAGTAGCTAACACCAAGACTGAGCACTGACAACTTTGAGTGCAGCGTGCCGATGACAGCCTAAAAAATATAAATTCACACTTTGAAGATGCCAATGCTGTCAACTTACAGGGTTCCCTTTATCGTTATTATTCTGCAGTTTCCGGTTCACACATATGGCTGAATTATTTCAGTATTACTGCTTGCCACTGTGTAGCAGAGAGCAGTTTAACAGTGTTTGAGCAGAGTCGTAATAGAGCTAGTGTGCTTGAGCTGCACAAACAGGGACAGAGGCAAGGACTTCAAAGATCTGCATGTTCTGGAGGAAGCAATGATGTACACTTGCATCTAAGTCATTTTAAGGCAGGAAGTATTCATTTCATTAAAAAAAAAAAAAAAAAAGGGTTACAAATTTGTAAGTTTGATACACAGACGAGCTTTTAGGGGTTTAATCAATGACCAGAGAGAAACTTCAAGTAGTTAAATCAACTCTGTCAGCTCCAACCCTAAAATCATGAACACTTTAATGCATAAATAATTCAATTATGAAAAATCACATTCTGTGCAATAAGTATTTTTACTTTTCGTACTCAAAGTATATTCTGATGCTAATGCTTTGTTACATTTACTTTAAATACAGGAATACAGGATTTCTACGTTGTGGTACTTTTTCCACGTCTGGAGACAGAAGCTAAGAACTAAAAATAATAACCAGCAAAAGTTACATATTTCCACCATATAGAGGGTGAAAACCTCTAAATTGCAGTTGTGCTTTACTAGCCTTGCAGTTACCAGCTTGGTGCTTATCAGTGGTGCAGCTGTATGACTTGAATTGTAAACGCTAACATTATAG